CTGCTCCCCTTGTCTAACTCCGTAATCATGAGTTGCAATTCGTCCCCTGAGTTACTCAGCAATGCAATGTCATCGGCGAAGCGCAGGTTACTAACGAACTCTCTAATAACTCTTATCCTTAACTGTTCCCATTCCAGGCTTCTGAAAACCTCCTGTAAGCACGCGGTAATTAGCATTGGGGAGACTTTGTCCCCCTGTCCTACATCCTTCTTGATTGGTATTCTGCTGCTTTCTTTATGAAGCACTATGGTAGCAGTTGATCCCCTGTAGATTTCTTCCACAATGTTTACATATACTTCATCTACGCCCTGATTCCAAAGTGTCTGCATGACGGCTGATGTTTCTACTCAATCAAACGCCTTCTCGTTATCTATGAAGGCTATGTATTGTGGTTGGTTATATCCTGAGCATTTGTCTATTACCTGATTGATAGTATCAATGTGGTCAGTTGTTGAGTAGACTGTTCGAAATCCTGCTTGTTCGTTTGGCTGATTGAATTCTAATGTTTCCTTTACTCTGTTAGCAATTATCTTCGTAAATAGCTTTAATGCTACAGAGAGTAAGCTGATCGTTCGGTAATTCTTCAAGTCCTTGTCATCTCCTTTCTTATGTATTAGGATGATGTTAGCGTTCTTCCAAGACTCTGGTACTCTTCCATTCAGGAGACACCTCAATTGTGTCTCACAATAAAGAATGCCATTTCTAGCGTGAGCTTCTGTCGTGCCAATAGATATCGCCTAACGTCTTCATCGTGCATGCCACACCATTTGGCCTTTCAGCATTCACTCCAACGATGACCCGAAATTGCACTTTTCCGCCAGTGGTCTAGTTTTGGCAATGAAATCATGAACAGTCTGAGCGGCGTTTGGTGCTTGCATGAAGAATGCATAGCTTGCCGCCGTCTCCTTGACTTGAGGGGGCGTAATATACTTATAAATGTCCGACGACTTTGTCGTAATTGAGCTTGTTGGCCTTCTTTAGGTGGCAACGCAACTGCAACACACCCACACTGCTGTAAATGAGCGACGATATTGGAAGTGTTCGTTTTTTTTATCTGTGGAGTTATGCACCTGAAGGTAACCCACGAGGTGAAAACAATACGTTGGGCAGATACTATCTGCACCTTCATGTTCTGGCGGCCACCCAGCACTCATGTTGGCGTGGTTTGCTCGTCACCATTGTTGAGTCGCTATCAAGATACGCACAACACGGAAGCCAGATAACACAACAAGAAGAATGGTATATTCGAGCAGCTTGTTTTATTCTCAATGAATGTGACGCTGCAGTGACGTGATTTACAAGACTGATTACGGTGGACGTTTCAGGCTGACACAAAACCATGATATTTTCGTGATGCATACAGAAGGTGCGCTTGTATAGGCACAACAATATATAACCTCCCGGTTTGACGGTATGTGGACGTAGGAAAAAAAATCACCCTATTAAAGAATTTTGGTAGTGTTCTGTCTGAGTGTGGACTATCTTTTTGTGTTTTATTTTTTCGTATTATGCAGGCAGTGACGATGGGTTGACAGAGAGTCATGGGATCTGCTCATGAAATCTCCGACGGACTCCATGTTTTGCAGGTTGCCTACAAACGGAGCCCAGAACAGCTTCGCAACCATAGTATGACTAGAGAATTGTCGAACAAAGCGTAGGAACTTTAAAAGACAATGGCAAAGCCAGGCTTCACGCCGAAGAGCTTTTCTCATTCAAACGCATAATAAACCACCTAAAGTGTGGTATTAGTGATAGATTGTAAATGTTTCTCCACTGCCTGCAAGATCAGAAAGAGCAATGATTAGCTGCAGAAAAAGTTGGAAAAAAAAGGGAAAGCTTTCATAAGGCCATGTTTTAAAGTGTAGAAATACGATAAAGATGGATTACTGTGGCCAATAGACCTAATGCAATGCCAGAATGCCAGCACCGGTAGGCCTGTACCGGCAGAGCAGCACCAGTGAAATGCATTGCTGACCTTCGCAATGCATTTCGTGCGTGCGATATACAAAACTACCGAGCCCATTGCCGGCAAGCGCAATCCGTATCACACACGCGACAAGTAGAGTAGAACAAAGATTGATAACCTACTTGCCCCAGAATCCAGTGCTGTTTTCTGCCCTGAGTCGGACTGAAATATATATCCGATAGGCCTGTTGGCTTCTCGGCTGCCATATCGGCCTCCCGAACTGTTGGTGTCGTGTGTTGGTCGTGACTATCTTGAAGCCAGAGATATACAGCGCGGCGTGGTGACGTTTCAAGGCTTGCTCCAGACTTCATGGGTGCAGCGAAACGCTAAAGCAGCAGCCCATGCTCATCCAGGCGTTCACACAAGCACCACGTCGAAATTCTTAGATAGTCGAATCCAGGCGGTCGTGGTCGAGCACTCCGAGTGCGGCACACTGCGAACCGTCACCGGCAAAATACGAGGAAAGACTGAGCCAGCATAGGAGGAGAAGGACATGTTATCTGTGGAGAAGGAGGGTTGTCACCTTGGCAACGTATTTTGCGCTGCCTGCATTCCCCGGGCGGTTCATCGCTTTGGAGAATAAGTGAGTTCGCGCCGCACGCTTCCCCCTGTGGTTTCTCCTCAACGGTCTATCCGTTGATCGCGCACGCCTATTGGGCTCCGTTACTCCTTTTTCGGGTAATTTTGCCTTAGAGTGCATCGGAACAAAAGGCTATGACTGATGCCGAGTTCCGAGTTTTCCGGATGACTGAGCCTTTCTATTTAGTACTGATCAAAACATTTGGCTTTATTACGGCGTCAAGCAGCGTAATAAACATGCCCTAACACAATAAACGTACGTATAAACTATAATAACGCCAAAAGACTACAAAAATTGTGGTCAGGGTAAATGAGCAAGTGCGTGCAATGGCAATACACCATAACTTGTGATGCGGCGCCTTGGCAAAGACGAACTTCATGGAGGAGCCTTTCCTTACACTGAAAGATCTGCTCTTAAAAAACAACGACGTGCGTCTTTTTCACTGGGCGCTTAGACGGGTGCTTCAAAAAGTGGTTAGTTTTGTTATGGTAACTAAACACCCTCATAAATAATCTCCACCCTTCAAGCTTACCGAGTCTTTATCCTGTTCGACTCCTGATCTGGAGGTCACGGCACCCACATTTAGATAGAGGTTAAATGTCAGAGGGCCGTGTACTCAGATTTGTGTTCGCTATCAAGAACATAAGGTGGTCGAAATTTACGGTATCATCTCTTAGGGTTATAGGCGTGCGCACAGGGGTATAGAGGGGCAGAGGGGGCAGCATCCTATTTATTTACCTAGAAAGGTGACGCACTATCTGCTCTATATTTTGAATTAACAGGTAACGCGGGCTCGCCGAATAACCTTCGCCTTCCATGAGAGGCGAACCTGCACACAACTATGACTACGACATTGCTCACATCATTATGTACCTTTTATTTAGAGGCGAAGAAGTGAAGGCTGGGTTAGTTTTTTTTTCATCATCTTTGCAATGATGACCCCAATCACTATGCTCGTATATGTATCGTACACGCACCTGCCTTCCCACGTCTCTGCGTTAAGTTTCATTGAGATCATGGATATATATTCGAAGTGCACTACAATAACAATCAGCGTACGTCTTGTTCGATATTCCATGACGTCCACAGACAGGCCCGTTGATCAAGCCTCGGCTACGCCGATCGCACCCAGCCTTGTTTTTCTGGCCCATATCCGAGACGCCGACCCCTTCTACATAGCTCACAACATGCGCGTCCTAAATTACCTGGCTGACTACGTCTGTGCTCTCTGGCTGGCTGATAACGAGTCCTTTTCCTGAGGTTTATTTACTACCTTATGGGATCGGCTCGATTACGTACACCGAAGGGGAGTTAAGTTGGAATACAGCAAGCAAAAACTTTTCACGAAACCCGATTACACCCCAACAAGTCGTACAGAAGTAGTTTTTGTGGCGTTCACAAACCTCGTCGAAACCACATATTGCCACGTTCCTTTTCTCAAGTTTTTTCATCGGCTCATTTTACTACGTTCCCCAGAAACCGCGCCTACGCTGTTGAAGAAGCTTCGATGCTCTAGTAGTTAGTTTTGTTAAGATCACACCTACTTCGTGAACCTTTCAGACTATTCTGAAACCTACACCACTGCTAGCGATAACGCTAGAATGTGCGATGGCAAGTGTATGAATGCCGACTCGCTTCGCCACTTGTCATTTGATCGACGGCCGATGCTCTGTTCGCCACTATCAGTGCCAGTGTCCTAGTTTCCTTTTGCGTGGCCACAATGTCGGCCCGAATAAATAGTTCCTTCTTCGAATTTGAGTCTGCTACCTTCGTTCACTTCACGACTCCGCGACAATAATATGTACAATGAGGACTTATAATCATTTTACCAGTAAATACACGACTAAATACGATGAGCTGTCTAAGTCATTGACATTCTTAAGGAAATTGGTGATGAACTCTTTGATTTTCTAGTCTACAAAGCATCCTAAACCACAGACGACTGCATGAGAGAGTGCAGTTTGTATAAAAAAACTTCGTTAAATCAGATGCTTGCGTTCGACGTTCCCCCGTTGCGTTTGTAGAAACGGCTCTTTAAGGACGGGAATAGCATGCATGCATGACTCCAAATTCATTTCGTTATCTAGCAAAGAAGAAGCATAAAACAGGAATTGAGAGAATGCGTTTCCAACAAGCACTTCCGGGATGATGACTTTATGTGCGTATTTTGGGTGCGAATGTTCGGTAGGTGAAAGAAGGTACGTTCATCTGTCACACGTTTTGTATTACCCATAACGTTCTTTCGAGACACCGTCACACCATTTTAGCCGAAGAGTTACAGTCTACTATTTTACTTTTCAGTGTTCGAAGAACAGAAATTAAAATGAGGTAGGCCACTGCACCGCATGTGAGAAGTTAAAGCTGCACCCAAAAACTAGACCTCCATCTCTCAACAAAATTGGGTCTATTTTAATGTACTTAACAGCACAGAAGAGAGCGTGAAATTCCGACAAATACAGGAAAAACTTTATCTTTTATTTCTTCTAGAGAGACTTGTGTTTCGGTATTTAATAAAGGAAGGACTGCTTGAACTCTGTGATCTCTTATTGCTGCACAATATAAGAATTGTTGCCTAATTATCCTGGCCGAATATTTCCTCAGTCATAAGAGTACTTTCCTGCAGTTGAGTAGACTTTCCAGACATTTTCTTTTTCAGAGTCTTGTTTTGCAATCTGTAAGACAATTCAATTCTTACTTATACAGAAATGCGCATCAACTGCTACATCACAATCATCTCTCCCTACGTGTGCATAGAGCTATTGTGTCATGTGTGGTCATTGGGCAGCCAGACAGTCGGAGCATAGCGAGAATAATCCTCCTTTTATTTTGCCGTGGTTGATGTACAGGTGCGGAACGAGCGAGGGTAACTCAAAAATAACTTGACTGATCACCACTTGTAGTACATGATGTAGAGATATCAACTCTATCGTATATCAACTCTATCGTCCTCTATCGTATGAGTAAGCCAAACAGAACAGTTAAAAACAGTTAGAGCTAAGTGTAATTCTAATGGCAAAACGATGTGACAAAGAAAGTATACATAAAATAAAATATTTTACAAAGTATCATTGTAATGACTACAAATTAAGGTCACGTGAACAAGAGTTCAGTGCACAAGACTAAGCTCGCCCTGCGATCTGAATGTTGGTATCCATGGCCTCGCATTATGTGTTGAGTAAATGAGGTGCAGCCTGTGGGGTATTGACAAGCGATCATCTAGCAATACTATGAATGACTGGCGCCCATTCAATTAGCACTTATGCACTTGTTTTCATTTTGTTGGTGCCACACGTCACATTATTAAAATTTTCTATCGGCTAGTTCCTTTCAATAGCAGCCTCAAGGCCCCTGATTGAAAATTGCACGTAAAAATTAGGATGATATGTAATTTAAGTGTTATGTGCGTGAATGTTTGAATCGTTTGAATAGTGTAACGAGTGTTCCAGTATTCGAATTGCCATAGATTCAAATTAAAACTTTGAAGTATTGATTGATATGTGGGGTTTAACGTCCCCGAACCACTTTTTATTATGAGCGACGCCATATTCATAAATCAAGAAATTTCGACCACAGGGTGTTCTTTACCATGCGCCCAAATTTGAGCACACGGGTCTACAGCTTTTCTGCTTCATCAGAAAGGCAGCGGCCGCAGCCGGGATTCGATCCCGTGACTTGCGGGTCAGCAGCCGAGTACCTAATCGCAGTATTTCCAACAAATAGGTGTACAGTTTTCTACATTTAACCCCTAGAAATGCTGTTTAATTGCAGTAACAAACTATTACGCCATGAAAACACATAATGAAGGTGAAACACCACTACCACGAAGCCCCACTTCATGGTAAAAAGAATAAGTTATCTAGCACAGATTCGTCAATTTTAACTGCGATTGCAAATATAGGAACAATCTCAGCTGCGTTTTTCCGCCACCGCCGTCATTCATGTGTATGTATATGTATGTATAAAAATATATACGGGGAAGAATGCGCTAGCCTTCTCTTTCTGTTCTGCGGAGCCAGCATTACCTTTCCTGCCGGGGTCGTTTGCGCGCGGGCTCATCTCGTGAACGAACAAGAGTCATGTTCGGAACGAACAAGGGGGTCCTCATGATTGCCGCTCTGTCGCGCCAACAATAAGCGCAAACCTTGAGCCCCACAGCATGTGGGAGCTTCTACGGGCTGCGCTCTAAACACGAAAAAATCTGTGCCATAAGTGTACCTGGTGTAGCAATGCTCTCATAAGGCACGTTTACACTAGAGAAACAAGAACCCAATTTTGGTTGTCTGTCTTCGGGAGTCTTTTATCTTGTCATCGTGATATTTTGACTACAAAGACACAAACAGTCCGCTGATGGCCTCTGGAAGATTGACGGTCTCTGGAAGACTCTGTTTGTGCCTTGTTCTGCTCACAGTCTTTCGTCTGCGAATTCTGTAGTCACACTGGCGGCACACGCAGTGACACCCACTAAACTTGCACACCTGCACCTCAATTTCAGTCATGTTCCTTGCTCTGCCTTTTTCCCTCGACGCCATGGGCTATGCAGCGCAGCTCTCGCCATAGCCCATGGTGTCGAGGGACGGTAATCGGGATACGAAAAAGGAAAGCTAAGAACAGACTTCGTGGGTTGCGCAAGATGCCTATTCGAATGGTGTGCAAACCTCAGAGGGGGCATTGCTTTCTCCCCAGAAATTTCCCCCTTAGTGGTTGTTTGAAGAAAACCCATGTGAAAATTTTCGTTCAGTCACAGACGATCTGACACTTCGCTAACGACCGGTCTGCTGATAAATTTTGTTGGTGCTTTCAGTCTGCCATCACGTTACAGTACGACTACGTGCTGATTATAATGAAGAAAGCCTCAAAGCATAACTCACACCCACTCTGGGAGATTGGCTAAGAAACGAGTAATTAGATAAGGTCGATCACGTGTTACATGTAAATCTAATGAAATATAAATTGGTTAAAAGAAACCAAGTTTTACTACTTGAGTGATTTGCTATCTCAACTGCCTTGAATCGATCAACAATTTTTCTACAGCAGAAGAGGTATCCCTGGGACAGTTACGGAATGGGGAGGTTGGAAAGGCGAGAATAGTTTCAATACTGGAACGATTGATACATTATTACGATGACATGCGTTATTGTCGTTAGCGTAGTGTGACCATAAGGTCTGGGGACTTCGTCGGTGAGTGACTCGTCAGCCGATGCCCTGCGTCTGCCTTGTGTATTCGTTGGGGTCTTTTCCGTGTGGTGTTGCTCTAGTGAAAACGCGCGTGTACATCAGCGTTTTGTAGAGTTACGTGAGATCGGATGCTAGCCTGGCGTCATAAAGCATTCTTATATGTTGCTATTACCTTCATTGTTTCGGGAATTAGCGAAACTCTGACTTTTTATGACAAAAGCTCAATATACCGGCCTATATGCTCGAAATATAGTAAAGTGCGGAATGTAACAAAATTTACAGGTTCCCACTTGAATATTATTAAAAGTCAATTGTTGTGACAAAGACACGTGACCTGAGTGCACCACCCATTATTACGGTAATATATAAAGTTGTATTTCGGGTCATGTATACAGAATAATGTTGTTTCTGCTTTCTTTGAACTAAGAAATTACATTTTCACAGGCCTCTTTTCAATTATTTTTGAAATGTTGTGCAGAGTAGTTAGAGAATAACACATATGACCATTTTTCTTAGAATATTTTATGAATATTGCTCGAGTATGATTCCAAATTATTTGATCAAAGTTACCAGTGAAACCAAGATCGCTTCTGACATAAAATTCAGAATTCGCACAAGCCTAATAATTGGCCTATTAGGTGGTCAAGGGCCGTATATATAATTTTTATAATAAATCAATAAGCAATCAATCAAAACAAGTTAGTGAAGACAAGTTGAAATAAGAGAAAACGTAGCAAAACTGCAGCACTAAAAATAAACAAACAATGTATTACAATGCGTGTAAATAAAAAGGACATCAGCAGTTAGGTATGCCTGTTTAGTGCTGCGAACATTCTGCTGGACCCTACAGGAACAAAATAAATTAGGGAATCCTTAAACTTTGCTTTTAAGAGTTTAACCTAATAGACAATTTCGGTTCTTGGTGCGTACTTCATTGAGTGAGTGTTCGAAGTGCATTTGTACTTGCTATGCACCCACTACATGGCCTTTATGAGGCAGTAGTGTGCGTGCTTTTTGTAGTGGCTGGCTGGCTTCAAAATATGAAGCCACTATGTTATTACCATGTTATGACACTCATGGCCATGTATGAGTGTACCACCCATTATTACGGTAATATTTCAAGTTGTATTGAGGGTCATGTATACAGAATGTGGGTGTTTCTAAACCATGAAAGTCACTTTCACTGCGTTGCGAACCATAGGAAATTAGGCTCACTATATCCGCAAAGAAAAACTTCGCTGCAGTGTACAAAAGACGCTTGCTACGCAAACGCCCCGGGTCGAACCCCAACTCGGAATCAAATGATCAGGGTTCATTCGCCACTGGAGCCCAGATTGTTTTTACTTGCATCTTTCTTCAACTTCCGGTCACAAAAAGATAACTATTTTGACAAACGAAAAATACGCTGGCACCAAAATTTTCACGAAACGAGCTCTTTAACGCTGGTGCATTAAAAAAGCAACGCCTTTACATGAAGGGAGTCATAACGATTAGACAGAGCTTTGAGAATCGTATAAGTGAGAAACTACACGTGACCTGAGCGTTGCCTCATTTATTGTGTGAACTGACTGACAATAAGTGCGTATAGACACATTATTTATTTCGCCTTCTAGTCGTCCTAAAAATTCAAAGATGATTTAGAAAATTGCTGCAGTAGGGTATGCTTCGACAGGGAATTCAGCCACCCGGCCACTCTTATTTCACAAGATACGCATACATAGTCGCTCATTAACATTCACCTAATCAGGACTCCCAGGCGTCATTGCACTATGGATGAACCTGCCATACACCATACAATACAGAGTATTTGACCAACGCTGGCAGATTCCACCCTCAAATAATTGCACACTTTCCATTCATTGTTAATTTACAAAGCACTGATATATATATATATATATATATATATATATATATATATAAACATATATATATATATATATATATATATATATATATATATATATATATAAGGCAAATAAGCGTATATCCAAGGGCTCGTTTTTTCGTGTTTTGAGACAATAATAATGACATCTAACAGGCAGTAATGCCAAGGAATGTATAGAGGAAGTTATTAGAACCAATGGAATGTAATTTAGAAGAAACAAAAGTGGGGAAAAAATAACCAGCCGTGAGTAGGCTGGTTTGTGGCAGGCTGGTGAGCAGGCGTGAGCAGGCTGCTGACGGCTGGTTATTTTTTCACCCACTTTTCTTTCTTCTTATTTACATTCCATTGATTCTAATACCTTCCCCTATACATTCCTGGGCATTACTGCCTGTTATATGTCATTATATATATATATATATATATATATATATATATATATATATATATATATATATATATATATATATTTTATATATATATATTGTCACAGGTAATGGGTATGAGCCATCAACTTTAGGTGGAATCCTTTGAAAGTAGAGAAAGAAGAGGGCTTTTTGCGTCCTGGTCTGAGGGCAAGCAAGATGTCGATTCGTCGCTGTCTGTTATTACGTT